CTGGAAGGATTAAGTTTGAAATTGAATTTAAAACATAATCCCTGCCAAATCAAAATACCACTGTCGGCACATGTATGTATATAATGACTGTTTTGATGTTTGTATAAAGAATAATTTTTTCTGTGTTACATGTACAATACACATTGAATATCAATTAATATATACTGAAAATACTAACTAAGAATTTGATTTCGGGAGGGGGGGGGGGGGGCTGTTAAGCATACTGAATGGCAAACGTATATTTAGTTACTTGAAGGAAGGTTTTTTTTTCCTTTGTAATCCTTTGTAATGATACACTTTATATACGTGATGTAGAACCAAAAATTCTATTGTATTAAATTTTAAACAGTTTGTCTTTTCTAAAATTTAAAATCACACTAACAATTTAATTCTTTCTACAAATATTTAATTAACTGAACATCTGTAGTACTATTCATGATTCTCAGACATATATACTGTATAGTTCTAGCATGTTTTTGTTTATTTTTTCTTTAAAAACTTGTTAGACATATTTTTTTGTGTATTCTTGTCTTGTAAAAGACTTGGATTATTATTCATCTATTAACGATTTTTTGTCGTCTTTTATATTATAACGAAATGCCGCGCTTTAAGTATTTGTTTAGGGACGGTGCCCATATTAAAATTTAATATTTTAGCATCGTTCTACTTACATGTATTTTCTTTATGTATTTTTTCCAGGGAAAAATGGATAAAATAACAGCTAAGTTATAATAATAGAAATATATATATCGTAGATACTTTTTGCATTGAAATAATTATTCTTCAAACACGATATCTTAGTTATTTAATTAAAAAACGTGTAAATCCTTACCATCAAAAAGATAAGTCCTTTCACTTCAGAGTTCCGAATGACAATAAAGACTGAACGATAAGTGAACGGTGAACGCAAGGTGAACGCAAACTAAACGGAACGAAGAGCGAACGGTGAACGTTTTGTGAACGGTGAACGCGAGCGCACGGTAAACGGTGAACGCAAAACTGTGAACGGAGAGCGAACGGTGAACGCACGCTGAACGAACGGTGAACGCACGCTGAACGAACGGTGAGCGAACGGAAAAATGGGAAAGTAGAATGTTTCAGGGACTGTAACAAATTCAATTAAACCAAGAAAATGTTCATGAAAAGTTTGAATATGACTAAATTTAACGTTTGCCGTTAATATGTAGAGTTGTCGTTCGTATCTCTTTCAGTGTATGACTCTACACTAAAAATGAGTTCCATTTCGAAAAACTTTCATGGTTCTTTATAATTTAGTTTTACATATGTACTTTGAACGAATTCTGATATTCAAAATAAGATTACTTTATCATTTCATTTACTTACATTATGGAAATTAGATTAATTCAGGAGAAAATGACATGAACTATTTGTCGCAGATGTTTATGCATGTTTTCTGTTGAATATCATCGGAGTAAATCAGCCGACACAGTAGCCTCGCTTTCGTCTCTATGTAATCAACACAAATTACTGCGCATGTTAAATACGTGATAACCATGGGAGATTGAACATAGTTCAACTCCCAAAAATAAAACCTGTAAAATGCAAAAAAATTAACAAAAAGAGTTGAAAATTCCAGGTGCACACCTTCATATGGTGAATAATAAGTGTACAAATTTTCAGATTAATCCTTGCAATAGTTTCTGAGAAACGGTCCAGACAAAACCACAAAATAAAAATTAACAAGATGTGTTTGTGAAACACTATGTGCCCGGCGTTAAGCAAAGTTTGAAAGCTATTTTTAGTATATAGGTCACAGTCAAGGTCACAAGGTCATTGACCTTGGTGTTGTTTGTAAGAACTTAATTAGTAGGGTATGCATACTAAATATGAAGTCCCTATCTCCTATGGTTCAAAAGTTATAGCAAAAAGTGGAAAAAGCTATTTTTAGCATATAGGTCACAGTCAAGGTCACATGGTCATTGACCTTGGTGTTGTTTGAAAGAACTTTATTAGTGGAGTATGCATACTAAATATTATGGTTCAAAAGTTATGGCAAAAAGTGGAAAAAGCTATTTTTAGCATATTGGTCACAGTCAAGGTCACAAGGTCATTGACCTTGATGTTATTTGAAAGAACTTTATTAGAGGAGTAAGCATACTAATTATGAAGTCTCTATCTCTTATGGTTCAAAAGTTATGACAAACAGTTGAAAAAGCTATTTTTAGCATATAGGTCACATTCAAGGTGACAAGGTTATTGACCTTGATGTCATTTGAAAGAAATTTATTAGAGAAGTATGCATACCAATTATGAAGTCTCTATCTCTTATAGTTCAAGAGTTTTGGCCAAGGTTAAAGTTGACAACAGACAGAAATACAAACAGACAAACAGACAGGACAAAACAATATGCGCCCCGAAAAAATCCGGGCGCATAAAAACACCTGTAAAATTCAAAATAATAATCGAATCAAGATGAAAATATCAGGTGCACAACTTCATATGGTGAATAATATGTGTACAAATTTTCAGACAAATCCTTCCAATAGTTTCTGAGAAACTGTCCGCACAAAATCTCATCTACAGACAGACGGACATGGTGATTCCGATATACCCCCCTTAAATTTGTTTGTGGGGGGTATAATAATCCTATGCTTTCCTTTAGATACCTGGCTCAGGACCATTGTCAGTGATGGTATTACGGCGGATTTCTCTATGATAAAAGTCTTCTGTGAAGATACTTGGCTGACGTTTCTCAGTAATGGTTTTAGTGTGGATTGCTGGGTGCATTAATTTAGCAAATAAATGCAAATACTATAGCAAATCAAATGGGCTTAATTGGAAACCCAAATGGACTAAATTATGATAATATTAACACAGTAATTTAGAGATTACAGAGCTCACCTCAACGAATGTTGTCTTTAAGTAAGGCAAAGTCACACAATTAACCAACAAAAAGTGTACATTCCAAAAATGAAAATATTTAAGCAATTTTGATCTGATACTTTGAACAGACCTACATAAAAAATTTAAACTAGTTCTTCTTCATGAAAATGTAATTAAAATCCAGAATCTGAAGCAAATTTAGAGTTTTCCAATCTCTTGATGCAACGTTTGTGCAAGTTTGGTTTAAACAATGTAAAGCCTAATAGTTTTTTGGTAGTATAATTGCACCAATGAAATAAAGAAGGTCTATTATATGAAAAATGCATGTCGGATTCAGCATCCGAAGCAAGTCCATTAGTTTGCATCCTAAGATGTATCATCCATGCAAGTTTGCTCTTATAGGGCTCATAGTTAATTGGAAATGAAACATGCATCAAAAACTAACATTTTTACTCATCCACAAAAAGTAGGTCAGATTCAGCATCCAAAGCAAGCCCAGTAGTATGCATCCTTAGATGTATTATCCATGCAAGTTTGGTCATTAAAGAATCATAGATACTTGGAAATGAATCATGCATTAACTTTAACCTATTCACTCAACCGGAAAATGTAGGTCAGATTCAGCATCCGAAGCAAGCCTGGTAGTATGCATCCTTAGATGTATCATCCATGCAAGTTTGGTCAACATAGGGCTTATAGTTACTTGGAAATGAAACATGCACCAAAAACTTTAACTGTTTAACCAGAAAATGTAGGTCAGATTCAGCATCAAGCAAGCCCGGATGCAAGATGTATTATCCATGCAAGTTTGGTCAACATAGGGCTTATAGTTACTTGGAAATGAGACCTGCACCAAAAACTTTAACCTGTTCACTCAACTGGAAGAGGTCTGAAGCAAGCCCGATAGTATGCATCCTTAGATGTATCATCCATGCAAGTTTGGTCAACATAGGTCTTATAGTTACTTGGAAATGAAACCTGCACCAAAAACTTTAACCTGTTCACTCAACCGGAAAAGTAGGTCAGATTCAGCATCCGAAGCAAGACCAATAGTATGCATCCTTAGATGTATCATCCATGCAAGTTTGGTCAACATAGGTCTTATAGTTACTTGGAAATGAAACCTGCACCAAAAACTTTAACCTGTTCACTCAACCGGAAAAGTAGGTCAGATTCAGCATCCGAAGCAATACCAATAGTATGCATCATTAGATGTATCATCCATGCAAGTTTGGTCAACATAGGTCTTATAGTTACTGGAAATGAAACCTGCACCAAAAACTTTAACCTGTTCACTCAACCGGAAAATGTAGGTCAGATTCAGCATCCGAAGCAAGCCCGATAGTATGCATCCTTAGATGTATCATCCATGCAAGTTTGGTCAACAAAGGGCTTATAGTTACTTGGAAATGAAACCTACACCAAAAACTGCACCAAAAATGTTAACCTGCTCCAAAAACATTAACCTGGTCATTCCTTTGCTGAAATTGCAGCATCTGAAAATTTGAATGGTGCAATGAAACACACTAGAACCATCCTCCATGCATGTCTAATCCATATAGGACATAGAAGTAGTTAAAAAGAAAACTGCTCCAAAAAACTTAACCTGGGACGCCAACGCCGACACCGACACCGACGCCGAGGGTATTACATAAGCTCCCCCAACTTCATTGAGGTGAGCTAAAAATAGTAATAAATCAATTCGTAACTAAAATATATAGGTAATCAAAGATTACGGAGCTTGCCTCAACAAATGTTATCAGTTTAAGTAATATAATGCAAATCTCACATCATATTTTCTTTAACAGTTACTATTTAAAGTGTTTTCCATGTAGTTTATAGATTAATTTGAATAAATTGTAGGTTTTGATCTTTAGATGTGATGTTCAACATACAATTAAATTTGAACAGCTTAAAATAACTCTTAAAATATTCTTTGAGGATTTAGTTTGCATCCCTTTTTTTGTATAAAGGAAAGCCCTTCCGGGAAGGATGCTCTGCCACAAATGTGACAGTGTTGGCCAATGGTTCTTGAATATTGTCCATAATTTACACACACAGCATGTCAAATGGTCAAAGCATTAGCTCTTTAAGCTTTATGCTCATAAGAGCAAAACATCCATTTATATGTAATATCATTATGTTTAGATACCAACCTAGAATGTCTCTAATCACATGGAATGCTGTCATCAGGTAACGACTGCCAACTCTGAATGCTGTTCCTCCTGTTTTTCCACATACCAAATAACCCACACTATGATGCCATCCCTGGGCATAAATAGTGTCCAGTTCCTTACTGCTTTGTGAGTTATCAATTTTTTTTTGAAACATTTCAGAAGACTCTAAATTAAAATATTTAAATTTTGAGATATATTATACTCATACCTGAGCAATGTACTTCTTTCATGCATTTAACAATATTTTAAAGGGAATAAATGTTGTACATGTTGTTTGAATTTGTCAAACTTCTGAATTAAATCTTCTTGCAAAAAGTAGTAATGTACGAGGGTTAATTGTCCCATAAAATCGTGGACAATTTGTCTAGTTTGAAAAATAGTCATCACTGCGTTCTGAAATTTTCACTACTTTTTAGTACATATATTATGAATATACAGAGCAAATTGCAAATAGATATATGCATAAATAAACAAACTATTAGATTTTATGTTATGTATTGTATCGGCCTACGGCGCACGGATGATAACGTCAAAGTGTCTGAAACAGCGCCATGTTTCATATTTGCTAAAAATAAAGTTGGATGTCCAACTTAAATTTAAAAATTCCATTGATTTACATACGTGAGTGTCTATAACCAGTTAAGGTACCAATCTGGCACATACATGCAATCTTCTAAAGATTTCTTATAAAGTTACGGACGATATTCTCACCATTAGTCAACTAACAGACGATCTCATATCGACGGTCGACAGTGACAGAATCTTTTGCTATTACAATAGCAGTTTGTCCGTATATTGTCCGTATACCCGGGGACTCAATCAAAAAGACTTCACTAAGAAAACTTCCATATCATTCATATATATATATACTAATAAAAGATCTAGTGATTTTTGTCATATTATCTTTCTTCTGTATTCATTTAAAGTCTCTTAATTAAGGTGCCATTACAACATCCTAAATCAAACTGAACTGCTCTCCGGTGCGCCGTTACGTCATCAATAACTGCGATTTTTCGTGTATTGTGTTCACCACATTCCTATTTCGATTGCTCGGAAATCTTCCAAAAATTAACCAAATGCCTTGAAATTTTTATAAATACGATAAAATTTATTAAGGAATCGAATTATGATAATTTTTATCCCGATCTTATGTATTGAACACTTTTATTATGAATTAATTCTTGTGTATTCTCTTATATAACCTTGTTATTTTTACCGTGCGCCGTAGGACTGTACCCTGTGCACCTTTAAGTGACTAAAATCTTTATTTTTGTCTGTATATTATCAAAAACATAATGATGCACTTGAACATGATGAATAAACATTTACTGAAAATTTCAGCTTAGTGCGCCCATTACTTTTCGAGAAAAAGGCTTTGTCCACAATTTTATGGGACAACCCTCGTACATAAATTCTGTGGATCACAAAATTTTTGTTTTTCCTTACTTTAAATTTGCAGTCCATGTTATTGCTCTATATAAACTTATAAATATTAATATACATGAGAAAGAAATTTTCCAAAGCATGCTATCATGCATTATTATGCAAAAATGTGGATATAACACCCAATCAACTATAACAAAAGGCCCACGGACCTTATAGGTCACCTTAGCATTATGTGGTAACTTTCCAACAATTGAATTGGTTCCTGTTTTAAACCAGAGGCCAAGAAATTTAATTTTTAAAGAGGCACCATTGCTTACATGTATCATAACTAAGCAACAAGGAGAAAATGCATTCCACTTTGTCTTTAACAGTTGTGCATCCCTCGATCTCCACAAAAACCACTGACCCTGGGACCCCATATTTCAAAATTTTATCAATTTTATCATAATTCTTTTTCATCATAAATGTTGACTTCAAAGCATTAATTTATTTTCAGACTATGTAAACCTCCCCTCATACCCCTTTCCCAGGGGACCTGAAATTAACCATTTTGGAAGAGGCACATTTCTTCATATTAAATTTGTACTTTGATCAATGGGATAATACCAAATGTGAAAAAAAGATTTTCAAGGAATTCATGCATTTTCAAAATATAATCATTAGAGTCCCGCCCTAACACCAAAAACAAAATAAAGTGCCACGCCACAGCATGATACGCCCGTCAAAAAATAACAATTACAATGTATCTTAAACAGTTAAAAGTACAGGAAAATCATGTCAACCTTGATTTTAAGATTTCAATGATTTTTACACTCCTTAAAAAATTTGTTTATCCATCTCCTGTGGTGTAGGCATTAATTGTAACAAATATTGCATCATTCATAGATTTCTATACTAGTTAGACCTTAATTGCCAAATGCCTATCATATTAAACAATATCAAATTAGTCTTCACAACTTAATCTATACCTAATTAATTTTAGAAATAAAAGGCTGACCATCAATTATAAACTGACCAACAGTTCTTCTGTCTAATTCCCGAAGGATACAGATAACGCCATGCTCTGAAGAAATGTAAGAGCTACATTGAACACATTAATTAATCTTTAACTGGATGCTTGTCTACTCATTACTCCCAAAAGATTATTGGATCTGCACTATCTACCATACATATAAAACATCAATGATTTTTTTTTAGGTTTATTTTAATGTCAGACAGTTTTTAATATACAATTCATATGGACATGCTGATTCCACCACTACCCCCATAAAATTAGTTTTTTAGTTCATAATATTATGTAATATCAAAATAGTTTAATAAGCAATATCAAATTAGTTTTAATTACTTCTCATCAAATTCATTTTAAAACTTAGGCTAGCCAACAAGAGCTATTTTTAATCCAACAGGCTTACCCATTTGGCCCAATACTCAAGGGATATAGATAGCACCGATGCTCTTACAGCTACTCCTAACACTAAACTCATTAATTACTCTCTCTCTAATTTGACATGCAATTTTCTGTTATCAAAATTCTTCTTGACCAGTGCTTGATAATTAGACTCATGGGAGTGGTGGAATTTCTCTAGCATACATTATATTTGTTATAGATTGCTGTCAAGTATATGCTAAAAAAAATAAGTATTTTCTTGATTTAACATTTTTCTAATAAGGTTAGTTCATTAGTTTTACATTTTTTAGAATGTGTAAATGAATAGAAAAAAAGACATTTTTTTTAAAATTTCACTTAAATTAAAGGTCACAGTGACCTTGAAATAGGTCGCGACACACCTTCTACCTAAGATGCATAAACTGGCCAAGTTTGATGATTCTAAATCTAATAGTTTTCTAGTTATGGACCGGACAGGATTTTTCCATATTTGGCTATAACATTTTAATTATAGGTCAGAGCGACCTGCTTTTTGTGCGCGACACACCTTCTACCCAAGATGTATCAGCTGACAAAGTTTGATAACTCTAGGCCTTATAGTATTAAAGTTATGAGCCAGACAGGAGAAAAGCTAACAGACGGACAGACAGACAGACAGACAGACGGACGGACATGAAGCCTATAACATAATACGTCCCGTCTTAAGACGGGCGTATAAAAAAGGTGAAATTACCATCTTTGTGTGAAATTCATAAGTTGTTTTGGGAAATAAATAATTATTTGCACAAAAATATCTTTTATTTTATTTGCTATAGGATATAGTGTCTATGACACTAGCATGGCCTTTCAGTTTGGCTGTAGGGTTTTATGATATTTTTGATAGATAAAATTCCTCAAAAATTGATAATTGACCATTTTTATCCATATGGATTATCTCTTGTTTTTAGGTTAATATTAAAACATACATGTTTTACTGGATATAATATTTTTTTTGACTTCTTACGAAAAGTAACTCCTTAAGCCTTATCTTAATAAGAAATAAACATTAATGTGTTTATTGTATAATTTTCATTTTATTTCAATTTCAATATTGATATTTTTGCCTCATTTTTAAAAGAAATTTCAGACATTTTTACCCCAAACAGTTTATTGGTTGTGATTGATACCATAGGCAGAATTTAAACAAGAGGCCCATGAGACCCATGGGCCTCATTGCTCACCTGAGCACTGTGGCTAGGATAAACATAGGTAATCAGAGATTACAGAGCTCACCTCAACGAATGTTGTCTTTGAGTATGGCAAAGTCACACAATTAACCAACAAAAAAGTGTACATTCCAAAAATGAAAATATTTAAGCAATTTTGATCTGATACTTTGAAATAGACCTGCATAAAAAATTTAAACTAGTTCTTCTTAATGAAAATGTAATCAAAATCCAGCATCTGAAGCAATTTGAGAGTTTTCATCTCTTGATGCAACATGCAAGTTTGGTCAACATAGGACTTATAGTTACTTGGAAATGAAATCTTAACCAAACATAGGTAATCAGAGATTACAGAGCTCACCTCAACGAATGTTGTCTTTAAGTAAGGCAAATTAAGTCACACAATTAACCAATGCAACAAAAAGTGTACATCCAAAAATGCTAAATTTATGCAAATTTGATACTTTGGAATAGACCTATATAAAAACTAAAAACCAGTTCTTCATCATGAAAATGTAATTAAAATCCAGCATCTGAACAAAGATTGAGAGTTTTCATCCCTTAATGCATCATTTGTGCAACAGGTTTATATAAGCCTTATAGTTTCTTGGTGATAGACTTGCACCCATAACTTTTACGAGGTCTATTATCTGGAAAATGTATGTCGAATTCAGCATCTGAAGCAAGTCCATTAGTGTGCATGATCTAAGATGTATCATCCATGCAAGTTTGGTCAACATAGGGCTTAAAGTTACTCGCAAATGAAACCTGTATTAAAAAAATTAACCTTTCCTCTAATCCAGAAAATGTAAGTCAGATTCAGCATCCGAAGCCAGCCTAGTAGAATGCACCCTTAGATGTACCATCCATGCAAGTTTGGTCATTATAGGGCTCAAAGTTACTTTGAAATGAATCCTGCACCATGAACTTTAACCTGTTTACTCGTCCAGAAAATGTAGGTCAGATTCAGCATCCGAAGCAAGTCTGGTAGTATGCATCCTAAGATGTACCACCCATGCAATTTAGTTGTTATATGATTCATAGTACTGTACCTTGGAAATGAAACCTGCACTCAAAATTTTAACCTGTTCACTCAACCGGAAAATGTAGGTCAGATTCAGCATTCGAAGCAGGTCTTGTAATATGCATCCTAAGATGTACCATCCATGCAAGTTTAGTCATTATATGTCTCATAGTAACTTGGAAATGAAACCTGCACCAAAAACTTTTACCTGTTCACTCAACCGATAAATGTAGGTCAGATTCAGCATCTGAAGCAAGTCTAGTAGATTACATCATATGATGTACCATCCATGCAAGTTTGGTCATTATAGGGCTCAAAGTATCTTCAAAATGAAACCATCACCAAAAACTTTAACCTGTTCACTCAACCGGAAAATGTAGGTCAGATTCAGCATCCGAAGCAAGTCTGGTAGTATGCATCCTAAGATGTATCATCCATGTAAGTTTGGTCAACATAGGGCTTATAGTTACTCGGAAATGAGACCTACACCAAAAACTGCACCAAAAATGTTAACCTGCACCAAAATCATTAACTTGGTCATTCCTTTGCTGAAATTGCAGCATCTGAAACTTTGACTGGTACAATGAAACACATTAGCAACATCTTCCATGCATGTCAAATCAATATAGGACATAGAAGTACTTAAAAAGAAAACTGCTCAAAAAAACTTAACCTAAACCTGGGACACCGACGACGACGCCGAGGGTATCACATTTAAGCTCCCCCCAACTTCGTTGAGGTGAGCTAAAAACCACCAAAAATGTTAACCTGCTCCAAAAACATTAACCTGGTCATTCCTTTGCTGAAACTGCAGCATCTGAAACGTTAACTGGTACAATGAAACACAATAGAACTATCTTCCATGCATGTCTAATCAATATAGGACATAGAAGTACTTAAAAAGAAAACTGCTAAAAAAAAATTAACCTTAACCTGGGACATACGCCGACACCGCCCAACTGCCAAAAGATAAATTAAGATAACACTGCATGATAATGCAGGTCTAGAGATGCTCTTGCCAATCACCTCCCCGACAATAAACTTATTAAGTTCTCACTAATTTGACATGCACAATTCTGCTATCAAAATTCTCCTTGAACAGTGCTTGATAATTATATGGGACAAACTGAGTTCCTCTCAAAACATTAACATTTGTACAGTTTCAGTTTTTGCTGTAAAGTATATGATGAAAAAATTAGTTTTTACTAAATTTCTACAATTTTAAATAAGGATACAACTATATTTTTACATTTTTTATGATTATGAAATTTAAAAGACTTAATTTAAAAAAAAATCACTTAAATTAAAGGTCACAGTGAACTGAAATAGGCTGCGGCACACCTTCTACCTTATATGTATACTTTTGCCAAAATTGAAAGCTCTAGGTCTAATAGTTTTCTAGTTATGAGCTGGACAGGATTTTTCCATATTTGGCTATAGCATATTTATTAAAGGTCAGAGCAACCTACTTTTTGTGAGCGACACATTGTCTACCCAAGAAGTATCAGTTGACAAAGTTTGATAATCCTACCCCTAATAGTATTCAAGTTATGAGTCGGACAGGAATGAACAGACAGACGGACAGACATGAAGCCTACAACATAATACATCCCGTCTTAAGACGGGTGTATAAAAAGCAGGTCAAAGAATGGAAGAATGACAGAAAGGCTTGCCAATTCACAAACTCTATATGCCCAAACAATTTTCATTGCAGGGCATAAATAATAAATCACCTTTAGCTACTGATTTCTCTCCTGTTCTTATTTTCTTTCTTGCAACATCGGATTTCGAATCACTTTTCCTTTTATTTCCCGTTTTTCTTTCCTTTAGATTTTCTGATTCACACCCCAAGGATGCTGTCCCATTCTTCTGTTCATCATTTGAAAGGGCATCTTGGTTAAAATTAATGGTTTGTATTAGAACAATTATTTAAAACAAAAAACATAAAATTTCCATATTTATATCATTTACATTCTTGAAGTTTAAATTTTGGTTTCAAGTAGGGCTGGGATGATACAACTTTCTCTATATTGATACATATCATGAAATTTGAGCCACGATACGATATGTATCACCTTATGTTTAATTGGTTATAAAATCTTTTTTTAGCATTAAAATAAACAATATTTCTTTCCAAATAAGAATAATTTATTCAAAAAGCTGTTTATATGTTGTAAAACAAAAATATTTACTCACATGGTGTTTAAAAAATTATTATTTATTTCATAATTATATATATTTATCATGTTTATATTTAGCTTATTTTATATATTAATCCCCAAATGTTAAATAAACAAAGAAAAACATGCAGAAGTCAGAATTTTTTTTGGCAATATTTTGATATTTCTTCATATGTTTCAATTTGTGTATAGTCCTCATACAGAATTGATATCGCCCAACCCTAGTTTAAAGATGACATTTGATTGAATATTGTGTAAATACATACAAAAAATTGGGAGTTTTCAAAACTTCATTTATCATGATAGATTCAATATCCAAATATAATGAGTACATGTATTAAAGATATACACAAGGCATATAAAAATGATGGAGCAGTTATAGTGTCATGTGCATGTGTCAGTAAATTGCAAAAACTGAAATAACCTTCCTGGTCTTTAGGAGGACTTGTAATTGTACAGCTTGCTTTTGTCAATCTTTTGTTGTTGGCAGTAGTATGACTTTCTGATTTCATGCCTGCAAAATCAAATTAAAACCAAAAGTCTCTGTTGGCACTGCAAGTAGCTCTACTGGTTTATACTTATAACAAAGGAAGAAAAAAGTAGCAGTCTTTTTTTGTGGCAAGATTGCAATAAGACTACAACTGTAGGAGTAGTTTTTAACAAAATTTTAAAGAATTTTTCATTTTAGTTACCAAAGCAACATCAATCAACAAACTAAAAAAAAGAAAATTACTTATGTCCGAGTAGTCGACAAACTGTACTTGCATGCAACATTATGCTGTTATCAGACAATAAAGTGCCGCGCCACAGCATGATACGCCCGTCAAAAAATTACAATTTTCTTGAAGTTTAGGTGCAAAAAATCACATCAACCTTGATTATAAGATTTCGATGATTTTTCCATTCCCCTAAAATATTTATCCATCCCCTGTGATGTAGGCATCAATTATAAATAAATATAACATCACTGATAGATTTCTGTGCTGGTTGTGTTAGACCTTGTCAAATGCCCATAATCAAATTATTCTTAACAACTTAATCTATACCAAATTAATTTTGGAAAAAAAAGGCTGGCCATCAAATGACATGTTATAAACTGACCAGCAGTTCTTCTGTCTAAATCCCAAAGGGCTGCTTATATATAGAGCGACTGAAACAGCTGGCCTTTCTACATTAAACTCATTAATTAATCTTTAACTGGATGCTTGTCTACTCATTACTACCAAGAGATGAATGGGTCTGCACTATCTACTACAATTTTTTTTTAAAAACATATGAAATACTCTCAGATTTTTTTTTTGGTTGAGATTTAATGTACAACAGGTTTAAGTATGTAATTCATATGGTCATGCTGATTCAACCCCTAAACATAAAATTAGTTTTTAAATTAATAATATTACATAAAATAAGATTAGTCTATCATGCAATACATTTCAAAACTTAAGCTAATCAACAAGAGCTATTCTTAATCAAACAGGCTTACCCATTTGCCCAATTCTCAAGGGATATAGATAACTCCAATGCTCTGTCAATAGCTCCTCGCACTCAAAACCCATTAATTTCTCTCTAATTTGACATGCAATTTTCTGTAATCAAAATTCTTGACCAGTGCTTGATAATTACACTCATGGGAGACATGGGATTTCTCTAACATACATTATATTTGTTTTAGATTGCTGTCAAGTATATGCTTAAAAAAATAAGTATTTTCTTGATTTAACACTTTTTTAATAAGAACAGTGCAATACTCTTACATTATTTGGGATGTGTAAATGAATAGTAAAATGACACTTTTTTTTAAAAATTCACTTTAATTAAAGGTCACAGTGACCTTGAAATAGGTCGTGAAACATCTTCAACCTAAGATGGATAAACTGGCGAAGTTTGATGATTGTAGGTCTTATGGTTTTCTAGTTATGAGAAAGGATTTTTCCATATTTGGCTATAACTTCTTAATTAAAGGTCAAGAGCAAACCTACTTTTTGTGTGCGACACATCTTCTACCCAAGATGCATCACATGACAAAGTTTGGTAATCCTAGGCCTAGTAGTATTAAAGTTATGAGCCGGAAATGAAAAAGCTAACAGACAGATGGACAGAAAAATGTACACGAAGCCTATAACATAATACGTCCCATCTTAAGACGGGCGTATAAAAACTGTTGTAAGTTTCGAGTAGCAGTTTAGAAGAAAAAATAAAATTATGTAGCTTAGTGTGGTCTACTTGTGTGCCAAGTTACATTGAAATCAGACCAAAACTGTAGGAGAATTTGCAATTTGAACTTTGAAGTACCGTATACACTCGCCTATAAGTCGGTCCGCCTATAAGTCGGTTGTATTCTTCTTAGGTTAACATGGAGGGATTTGCCCTTGACCCGCTTATAAGTTGGTATATATTTTTGCCAAATTAGGGTGACACTTTCAAAAAAATCCATTGATGTTTTAATCTGGTTTTACTTGGTATTTTTCGAAATAACACTGATATTTAATCTTAAATTTAAAAAAAGGCATTGCTCACTTAAATTGCAAATAAAATTATCAAAATATTCCATGTAAATACTTGTTCTTTATATACACAATCTAAGAAAACATACATTTTCTTTGATAATAGCAAATAAGATACATATACTACCTTTTAACCTCCAGAAAAATAACAAAGTCTTTATGACTCGCCCATAAGTCGGACCTAGAGTTTTAGAGCAATATTTCACTCCCAAAATACCGACTTATTGGCGAGTATATACGGTATTTCACAGAAATTTCTATCAGAGATGGCGAAAGACGCAACTTACCGGCGATCTCCGGTAAATTTCGTCTGAGTTTCTAGAACCACGCCGGACACCGTGTCAACGTAGATAATTCAGAATAATCAATAGTAAAATATAATTAAAAGAAATTACATAACGCATTATTTCTTAAAACTTCATGAAATTGAATCTGTAAGATTTTACATTATTTAAATATTGCAATACGTAGTAGTATGGCGAGTACCTGGCAGTTATCGAACTTACTACCGCTCTTTTGTGGAGAAGTCGAGAAAGCTCTAAATCTCGCGCCATAATTCTCAAGCATAACATTGTTTACAGTTGTGACAATCGAAGAACTAGAACAATCATGCTGTTGTTACAATGTATTGTCACGGGTTGGACTCCAGATAATCGATTGTCAAATAAGGAAAGTTTAGAGTACATGTATTTTATTTGATTTCAAAAGTGACGATTTCAATAATGACCTTAGTGAAAAATATCATCAAAAAATATAACGTTTTCATATGAGGACTAACTCTTCTATAAAATTCATTACAGTGAGTCAGCGAATGTTTATCAAGAGATTTAAACAGGATTTATTTCTAATCTACAGTGATCCATTTTACATTGTATTCACTTGCACATGGTCCCCATCCAACAGACATTTTCTTCCTCCACTGAGAAAGAGTTCCACCAACCAGAAATCAATTTCAATTTTACATTTTGTTGTTTTTTCAGTCCGGCAAATTTTTAGTGTGTCCTGTAATTTTTGTGATTTTTAGACAATCTGTAGGACACTGTGTCCGACAGATTTTTTACCTCTTTTGCCAACTCTGTTCTATTTTTAGTTACCATGGCAAAACTGTTCATTGAAATCAAAAACAGATACATAGAACAGAATTATGTATCTTAATGTAGTCTACCTGTGTGCCAAGTTATATTGAAATCAGATCAAAACTGTAGAAGTAGCATTTTGAAAAATTGTTTACAGACAGACAGACATACAGACAGCTACACCGACAACGGATGCATTACTATTGCATAAGCTCTTCTGGTCTCTGACCATGCTGACCAGTAGAGCTAAACATACAAACAAAAATCACAATTGGGCTACTCTTAAAAAGTAAATTTTCATGGCAAACTTGAAAAATTTAAAATTCGGAGTTCTTGTCTTTCATTTTTATGAAATAGTCTGTGTTAATAAAATTCTAAAGTCAACATTACAGCTTTTGATAGTCAATTCTTTTGATGCCTTCTTCTTCTTTTTGAGGTACCATGACTTTAACTCCTTCATTCTGGAGGCTATGGCTGGCATTTGCAGTAGCTTTTCTTCTTTGATCTTTTTATTCAGATAGCCTGTTAGGATCACTAAAAACAAGGGGCCAATGGCCACATCACTCTCCTGAGCACATTAGTAAGGAAAAAGCACAGATCAGTTTAGTATTGAAAAAATCACAGGTGGTGAGGACTTCATTTTATAACTACCTAAGGATGCTTCCTTATCAAAATATCAAATGACTTTATTCCAGATTTAACGTTTTAAAAATATTTTTCACTACATATTCCATTACAAAATTTGATACTCCATTGTGGCACCACCTTACCCGTTTCTGATTGATTGATTCTATATTGTTTTACATTCCCTGAAAACCGCTTTGAGGTTTATAAAGCGTAAACTGCCCCAATTTATGTTATATCGGATAACATAAGTTGAAATAAGCTTCATTCCTTAAATAAAATCTTGGATACTTCTGTTTCATTTGCATGTGTTAAATCACCAGAATTGGTAGAAAAAAGAAATAAATTGTAGATCTAGGCAATTTTATGATATTACATCCTAAAGGAAAACTTTAAATAGTATTTTGGTAATTTCAATAAATTATTCTATATAATCTATTTTTTTTTATTTATTTCAAATGCAATTAAAGGTAGAAATACCCCCTCCCCACATTTTTAAGTCTCTGTATTATATGGAAAAAAGCCTGATAAGTAAGCTCTAGAAGATAAATGTTTGGTCTGTTAAATATAGATTTTATCAGACCTTATCATGCTTATGTCCTGTAAATTTAAGCTTTTCTTTTTCTTGGGGGTGGGTGTTAATTGAATATCGTATAAGTGGAAATTTTAACGAGTCGCAAATTTAGCGATTTTTCCTTAAAAACTGGTAATTTATTTTTGCGAGACGTTATTTCAGCGATTTTAAAATGCACATAAAAGAAGCTATTACAAATAAAACACAATTGATTTTTAGCAATATTCAATTTTAGCGATGTCAGCACTCTCGCTAATAATGCCAAAATTAAATCCTCGCTAAAAATTCTACTTTAACGGTACATGAAAGTATGTTTAAAATTTTCCCAAATTTGACAAAAATGTAAGGGATTTTTCCCAATATAGACCTGATAATTTGTACCAAAAGGTGCTGTGACAGCCCTGCAGACAGCTTAAGATACATATGTACAGACTAAAGACAATTTTGATCAAATTTCAGGTGAGCTTAAAACAAATATATATATATATATATATATATACAGTGTATATATTACATGGCGTCGAGGGCAATACCAGAAATTTGCCCCAAGGTGATAGCAAAGCCCTGGAGTGTTATGTCGGCCTCTGCCTGCGGCATTGGGCGACAACACTGCAAATGCAGGGCAAATATTGTATTGCTGCCCTGAATTAAGCACATGGTAATATATTGGTATATAACTGTTTTCTTACCATTGAGCCGAAAGATCATCGAACTTTTTTATTAAACTATTTACACATATTACGCTGAGTAATATCCAATACTGTATCATAAAATGCAGTATACATACACTTGTGTTAATAACCTTTGTTGAATTTAAAGAATTTCCTCAATTTTTTAATTACATAAAAGAATAAAAAATATAAATATTTATATCAACTTTTTAACTTTTATGGAAGCTGTTTACATTTGCTTCGCAACTGCCTCTGTTGAATTTCGTTCATTATTATATATATAACAAACATTTCCACATTTTTTCGACGTAATTTATATGCAGAATGATTGCACGAGAGGGAAAATTTAACATATTCTGTTCATTATTATATATATAACAAACACCATTATTTTCAATATGCAGCATTTATTTATTCTCTGAAGCCTTATATATATAAAATATCAAATATCAGAATGTGGCATTTTAGTCAAAAAAGTTGTTTGTCCTCGAAAAAACAATTATTTATAACTTTTTTTCTTTATTAGAATAGTCACCATTTTTCATCACCGCCATATTGAATTTCTCTTTCGTAAACAATAAACCACCAAAGGAGGTGAATTTTTTTTGGTTGGTTTTTACATGCGAAGGTCATTTACATGTAAAAGCAGTACCCGCATATATTTGAAACAATTTGAAATCATATTTATTGAAGGAATAAAGCTTACACAACTACATAAATGAATTACACTGAACATGTATATTTAATCAAATTATCTTGGGTTTTTTTGTGATTGATACTAGCTACCATACCATTTTCTGGAACACAGAAAATTAAAATTGAATTAATTATATTTCACCAGAATTAGTTTTAAATAGAATATTCATTATACATCATGGCCGATTTCCATACAAATATATATGAAGTGCCTAAAGGCATTTTTTAAAAAGTATTAGGGCTTATAGAGAAAAATTGCCCAATTTTGACAAGTAATAAAAACACGCTGATTATTCTTTACTACATGTTAATTTAAAAACATTGTTTTATATGTCAATTTACTGATTATCTCTACCTAATATTATAATACTTATTTCAAACTTTAATAATCTGAAAGAAATTTATACACATTTCACATCATGGAACCACAACGTTTACATTTTTTACATAGAATGAAATTAGAAACGTTGTTCATTGATAGCATGTTCAATGATGTGTAACACTATACTTTACAAACCTTTAAATTACATGTATATTAATTTTCTGCCCAAATAAATAAAAAATGTTTTGCAATTAAAAGTTCCACTAAATCTGTTTATAAATTTTATTCATACAATTATCTTGGCCAGGTAAACTTTGTGGTACACACTCATAATGCATCTCATTCAGCAGATTGGTCAGTTATTAAGTATTTTTTTAGCCTTTTAATAGCTTATTATAAATTTATTCATATGTCAGAAAAAAAGTTTTGTCACATTGTTTATAATGGAAAAGGTGGCATAGATTTTACCATTTAAAAAAAAAAGATTTTTATTTGGGAGCACAGTATGTAATTTTCTCCTTTCACAAAAGTAGGTATTAATAAGATTCAGTGACCAGCCAAAGCAGAAAAATGTACCTACTTGTACTCGTATGTTTTAAGAACTTCAAAGAGTGGGGTGGGGTCAAAATTCAAATAGGAATTGAATGTAAACATGGAACCCCTACCCAAATGAAAGATCTATATCTTCAAAATTACGCTGCTATTTTAGTTCAAAGTACTATTTCATTAGGGTACACACATCAGTGATAAGATACTATAGTACATGTAAAAATTGGAGTAAAATTTAAACATTTAATTTTTTGTCAATTTACTGGGGGCCGTAAGTCACTTCATCCTTCTTCAGTATATGAGAAATTATGTTCAAATGCTGACTGATGTTTTCATTACTAATTGTTAGTCCATTATATATACACCGAATTGCCGTTTTTTCCATTACTTTCTTATCATGACAAGGAGCACACACATGGGGTGTGACTGGTTGGCAGGGGGTGTTCACAATGAGAAAGAAATCGAGTTACAGCGCAATTTTTTGTGCACAATAAATATATAGTTTTTTCAAGGGTGGTGCTGTAGCTCTCCGGTCTATCAATAAATTTTTTTTGAGAGCTACAGTTCTGCAGCTATTGCTAGAGTGGTTCCTGGACCCTGGCTGATTTTCCCAATTTCTACAGCAAGGGTAGTTTCCAAAAACAACCAAGATTACAAGGGGCGTTCTATAAATAATATCATTGGGGCTCAGAAAGAAACAAAAAACGCTTTTCTATGACTTATTCTTAATGATTTAACTAAAATATTCTCTTTCAATTAAAACTCATATCCGGAACATTTTCAATCAATTTCTAATTGTTTTTCTAACACATTTTTGAGTATGACCCTTCGTATACTGGAATATGACAGATCCTATGCTTTGCTGTACTTGTTTTTTTCTTTCTGATAGATGTTTTTCTAAGTTTAGGAAATGAGACAAGTCAAAGGTTGAAAGATCTGGCAAATTTTGTTGGTGTGACAAAACATTAACTTTCTTTTTATCCCGAAAACTCCTTTACTCTTCATGGCCTGTGGGTTTTGACCCCATCATGAAGACACTTAATGTAGTGAATTCCTCATTCTGTTTCCTTCCTCTTGTTTTCTAGACTACTCCAGAAATTTGAACTTCCTACATAAAATAAACAAACTGGCATGTCTTTCACAACAATCTTCTCTTCTGGTCGAACAATCTTTGTTTTCCTTTTTTTAGATCATGCAGTCATGGAGAATTCAAGGACACTTTTGTGACCATTTTCAATTACAGGTCAATTACTCTCAATACCTCCAAGTCTGTGGGACCAAGGAACAAGAAGCCCATGGGCCACATCGCTCACCTGAGTAACTTTGGCCATTCTGTTATTTAACAGATTTCTCCCTATGTAATATCTATCTTGACCTTGCCCATTTCCAAAGGGTCATGTTTCGAATAATTTTGATTCTACATTACCCTAAGATGCTTCCACATAAGTTTCAGCTTCTCTGGCCCAGTGGTTCTTGAGAAGAAGATATTTATTTTTTTCCTTTTATACCTCTTTGCTAAACTTGGATCCCTATTGTGACCCAGCCCTACCCCCTGGGCCCTGGGGTCATGATTTTAATAACAATTTAGAATCTACACTACCCCAGGATGTTTCCACATAAGTTAAAAGATTTTCTGGCCCAGTGGTTCTTGAGAAGATTTTTAAAGTTTTTTTTCTATGTAGTTCAATGTAAAACTTGGATTCCCTATTAAGGCCCCATCCTACCCCCCGGGTCGGGATTTTAGCACATTTAAAATCTACACGACCCCAGAATTTTTCCACATAAGTTTCAGCTTTTCTAGCCCAGTGGTTCTTGAGAAGATTTTTTAATGACACCACCCTATTTTTGTATTTGTTTAATTATCTCCCCTTGGATGCAGATTTTGCCCTTTATTCTAACAATTTAGATTTACATCTACATAACGATTCTTTGTACCAAGTTCGGTAAAAATTGGTCCAGTGGTTCTTGAGAAGAAGTCGAAAATATGAAAAGTCAGACGGACAGACTTGATGACAGACTATGGACAACGGATGACTTCAGAAAAGCGAAAATATCACTTGAGCTTTCAGCTGTGATCAGAGCTCTTGAGTTTTCAAGACAGAATTATCTGGTTCGTTGACAGGTTTTACAATTAGTCTAACCAGATATTTCATGTTGAAATCTTCAAAACACCTTTTAAAAACACACTCCTACATGTGTATTTCACAGGGAATAAAATGTA